CTGCACCGACTGGGATAATGAAGACGGGCACATGCCATACAGTGTGCTATGAGGGAAAATTTGCCCGAACAGCGGCACTATATATGGTCTACTCATATGTAAACCGGAACTCGGTTGTTCCTCCCATCCGAACGACTAGACTAGACAGCTGTCCTTGTCAGGCCCTCCATCCTGCACCACTGACAAGGGGGAACCGCGCCAAAAAATAGGTTAGCGAGTCAGCGTCTTACTGCCAAGCCCATGGGTAAATTCGGCGTTGTTTCTGACTGCCGTTTGCCTGTTCGGAGGTACACAGTCTATTCTAGAGCTGTCCCGGGGCTGAAATTTGGGGTATACGGGTTGTTCGAGTTGGGGAGTGAGATAGGCACTACCACTTCCGGTGTCCGAAACACCCCAAAAGGAAGCGTGGTAGGACTCTATACGTGCAACACCAAGTTATAATGTACTAGTATAGGAAATGAAAGGAAATGAAATGGGGTTTAACGTCCTACTGACTGGGCTAATGAAAACGGGCAAACACCATACAGTGTGCTATGAGGGAAATTGTGCTCGGACAGCGGCGCTACGGCCTACTCTTATATCGAACTCCAACTGCCAAGGAATCTTTTACGTGCACGCCAATACACATGACCTCGTTTCCTTGTAAGGCCCTCCATCCTGCACCACTGGCAAGGGGAAAGCACACTGGAAAATCAAGATGAACGGTTTTCTCGGCCCACGTGATCGAACCAGAAACCCCTAGGCCAGTCTTACCCACTTAGCCATCATGGATCCTACTAGTTTAGCATTAAGTACTCGAATGAATCATGAATGTCTATCGCTATACAAGTTAGAAGAGGCTTGGTACAGAAAGGTTGTCGATACAATGATAATAAAGCCATGGACTCCAAACTGATTTCATATTTACGATGTATATAACAACATATCAGACTGTTTATCGGTTGCTTTTAGTTCTGTATGTAGGTGAAGTGTATAATTAACATTCTTCAATCACATGTGTTTACCAAATAAACTAGAATAAGTTCAATCAATACTTACCAATCAATATGGAAAATATAAAACAGGAGCCACTAATAGTTTATTAATTTTAAATGACTGTAGTCAATAACTGGTGTTCAACGCTAAGTGAATTCATTTTTGCAAAATTACAGAAAACGCTTCATTATGTGCATTTTTATTTTAAATCTTTGGGGGGCATTAAGTGTGCTTCGGAGTGCAGACGGGTTGATCTTTTTGGTAGTGAGCTAAACATGGGCATATAAACATGCAGAAAATACATCATCTTTAGACGCAGCATCACGTTTTGCTGTAATAAAACTTATGATGTTGATCATCTTCAACAGAAGATTTGATCTCGCTTTAACTCCGTACTTAAAATATATGTTTATGTCCCAAAGATCTCAGCTCCTTTGGATATTCGCACATATCAGACATAATTTTCAGGATTATGGCCCCTGATTCTACGAAAAATCACCTTTACGTAATACCCTGTATATTTCGTCACTAATTTCAACTGGGTATTCACCCAGCTTGTGAGCCTATCAGATTCCTCTATCAATGCGAATACCAGGTCTCGGGCTACCTGTGATAATCGATTTGCAAAGTTTAAAGTTCGTTCAAAGTCATGGTTTCCGTGGAGGTCGCTATAGTTGATTTGATTGTCTTAGTGTCACTATTGTTCACGTGTCTGCAGTAAAGAGAGAAAGTGTAGCTATAAGTTCGGGAATTGCAAAGTTATCTAGCAACGTCCAGATGTTGTAAAACTCGCAGCCGTTGCTTAAGGAATATAGACCCCCTCAGGGGAAACCACTCGTACTTGTAGCAACAAAACCAATGACGTAGTCTTAAAGAGTGACACCACAACACTATACAACATGAAGAATAATCATTAATGAAACGAAATGGGGTTTAACGTCTTACTCTTATATCGAATTCCGACTTTCTGAGGATCTTTTACGTGCACGTTAATGTGTACACGAGATCTCGGTTTTCGTCCCGTCCGAACGACTATACGTTATCCCTTGCCGCTCTCTGTCCTGCACCACGGCCAACACCTGGATTTAACACGGGACCTCCGGGTTAGCCAGCCAACGTCTTATTCACTGAGCCACCGCAACTCCCTAATAGTCATAAACATATACATGGGCAGTACAAGATTTGACAAGGTAGATGTTCAAAGATTTGACGAACTAACCCAAAGATTTGAACTTTTACACCTATACTCTTCATCGAATTCCAACTGTCAATTGTTCTATTCGTGCATGCCAACCAATACACGGGTGGGCCTCTGTTTTCTGTTCCACCCTGTCCACCAGTGGGGTTGGTGGTCGAGTGGTGTAACGCGTGTGTGCTTTAGATCATAAGGTATATCTGTCATTGAGTCAAGTGGACTGGTTTCGATCCGAAGTCTGTGCGTGACAACGGGTAGGGCGGCCTGCCCAACCTCATGGGTCTTCATTTCCTCAGGTATCATCCCAACGCTAAAGACCCCATATTCTTCTTCTTATGTAGTAAAAACGAGATAAAACCGGTATAAAGACATGTGTGTATATTCATCTTTAAAAGTATATCAATCATAACCTTTGATAATTTCAAAACTCGTTTTTTTCTGGTTAACCTATAAAAATAAATATACAGTCTTTAGCGAGCTTAGAGTGGGCGTAGCTTAATCTACTAAACAAATTAGTTCATCACAAAATCAAGGTGGTCGTGTCTTTCTCTAAGTTTGGAGAGAGAGAGACAGAGAGAGGGAGGGGGCTAACGTCCATTCAGTACAAACTGGGTTATCTGGGGACTAGCATAATAATATAGTTTATTCCTTTTCTAATACATCGCTTCGCACAGACGTCACCATGAAACTGTACAAGAGAGTGATCGGAACCATGACATTTGTCTCGATGACATACTCCTTTGAGCGCACTTGTTACACCACTCAGCAACAACCCCATCGTGAGTGACATACTCCAACACCGATATTATATGGTATATTATGAAACGAACAATAACTTTCCTATGTTGATCTCATTAAACCCATTTCGTTTGTTTGATGTATTTAACCGTGCATGTATCTGTTTTTAAAAATGATTGACATATAGTTTTCCACCGGAAGAAGATAATTTATTTTATAGTTTATTTTACAAGTTTCCTGTCGAACCAGTTTAAATCAGTTCGCTGGCCTGTGTACACCCTACAACAGAGTAAAGGAAGAATATTTTAAGGTCAGTAATACTACAGAACTGTTAAATGTATAGACTTTATATATATATATATATATATATATATATATATATATATATATATATATATATATATACATCCATTATAACATCTAAAGACCCTCAATTAAGACGAGACCGCTAAGACCAGAGGAGAGTATAAAGCAGACTACACTTAGGGCACTTAGAGGGTGGGGGCTGAGCCATGGCATACCATACCTTTACACTTGGTTCATTGGTTCAGGGATTATGTTTATGTCCTGAAGATCTGAACATGTCCATAGTTAGCAACAACCAAGAACTAAGCTGCCTTCGATTAGAGACAAAGAAGCTTCAAAGGTGACTGATATTCCTTACGATACCTGCCAAGTGTCATGTACGCTAATGGGGTGGGGGGGGGTAGTACTTAAGAGGCAACCCCAAGATCAAGAAGATGATCAAGATTTAGACACTGGTGGTGGTCACGGTATACTTTACTTTAAGCCGGCCAAGTTCAGTTAATGCATGTCAATAGGGTTTGTGGTAACGGTCCCCCTCCCTCGTGTTGCAATTTCCGATTTTTGTTTTCATTTTCCTATATTCATTAAGCGAAGAAATAAAACAAAGACAGATTAATTGAATCTGAATATTAAGGAAATATTAATCCGACTGTGAAATCTAATCTGGAAACCATCAGTGGAAAATTTCTCCAGTAGTCTGTGCCCAACTCCCACACGTTTCGGTCCAGGGAAAGTTGTTCTAACTCAACTGTTTTCAGGGGCGGACTGGATCTCACACCCCCAGCGTCCAGGAATTGAGGTCACAATATTGTCATTAGGGTAATGGAAATATGATGACATTGGCGCAGGCATTTCCATGAGCACTTAAGAAAATTATTTCAGAAGGGAGGACACTTTTTCAGAAGGGAGGGTATTTTTTCAGAAGGGTGGACACCTTTTTGGAAGGGATGCCACATCCACGCAGGTTGGAAATCTCATCGGATTCGAGCATTATCAAACGTTTCCGGTTTCTTTTGTTTTCTGATTTATGAGGGAAGCCACTTACCCTGCCTACCCACCCAGCATGCGTCTGGTTACATTGATTGGGGTTACAGTGATTTTTATATGCTGTTCAGACTAGACGGGCAGCCCAGATAATTTTGGTCAAACGCACAATATCTGAGTATAGGAACATTTATGTAACACATTCAGATGTGGATTATTACTGGGGCCCCCCTCATGCGGACCCTAACAGCTCAAATGGAGGACCCTCATAAAGGGCTGGAATAAACATTTTTGAGTGCTCCGTGAAACCAAATGAACGGTACATATAGAGTACAATGACTGCTAGGCAATATTTTTACCTGTACATTATGTAGGTACGAGTCTCCTCGGGATTCAGTACAAGTAGGTTCACTTGGCCTATACGGATATCCCGAATTGGTAGGAGAATATATTCGTTGTTTCCGAATTTTAATACCGCTTTTACTTGTAACTGCACTACTTGATTATTCTTTAGTTGTGGGGATCCGAAAGAATTAATTTGTCTAATATAATAGGTTAGCTTGTATTTATTCGGGTTTATTTTTTTATTTTTTTCATTTTTTTTTTTTGGGGGGGGGGGGGGTCTTTAGAAATAGTACGGTATTCGTTTTGAGAGGGTATTTCAGACTGAATAAACAAGTTATACTATTTAGATGTGACTTCTTCTTTGAAACAAAACTATGACTTTCTACGCCTATTGAATTCAATACACAGTAGAGAGTGGTAACGACAGTAATTATCTCCACAAAATAAACATTTTAGTGGTTATTTGATAACTATGGTCACATCAGTTTTGGGAGATAAACCGCTTCGGTTTGACACAAAATGAAACCGTGCACCAACCAAACTGGTTCTTTTTTTGTTACTCATGACGGTGTTCCATAGTAGGACAATGTTGACAAGTAAATAACGTAAAATCGACAACAGGTAAACGAAATAAACAAACAAAAGCTTTGTATGGTGACCTCGCGGATTTTGTTGTGGTGTAATTTCATGGGCCACGTTTGGGTATTATTGTAACTTTTGAACTGATTTTGTGACGTTGTATTTACGGTGTCTAACCTTAATCACGCCTAGAAACAGGGGTTTTATATCGTTTAAGGGATTCTGTACTTTTAAAAGATTTTCAAGTTTCCTGAAAGTAGGTAAGAATACGTTTAATCCAATTTTAACTTGTAAGTCGGTAGATTTGTGACGTTGTATGGGCTTGGTTTAAGGTACGAGTGGTTAAGTGGTCTTGCGTGTGCGCTTTAGATCATAAGGTCTGCCATTGAGTAAAATGGCGAGGTTTCGATCTCAAGCATGTACGCGACAAGTAATAGGGTCGACTGGCTAACCTCGTGGGTTTTCTGCGGGTCCCCCGGTTTCGTCCCACTGCTAAAGACCCCTAAACAGAAGCAGATACTTGAAATAAAATTATACCATGTGTTAGTCCTAAAATGACTTAGTGTGTGTCTACTGGACGTTAACCTCCATTTATCTCACTCTGGTTTTGTGTTGGCGGGGTATGCTTATTTGCCATTTGTTTAAAGATAGAAGAGTGAAAACAATAATGTCAGGCCGGGATACAGAAAAGGGGTCATACTTTATAACAAACTTGGGAAAGACATTAGATTAGCCGTGAGATCATATATTAAGTAGAACGATATAATAATAATAATATAGAACACTAAAAAACAATTAAAGATGTATGCTGAACTTGTCTCTCAAACACGACCGGCAAATTTCGCAGGAAACTCTTGTCTGCGACATTACCCCCGGTTGAAGCGGATGTTAAGTCCCACAAACGATTCTGTGTGAAGAAAGTATAACTCGCATTTAAATTGTTATTGCATAATGCGATTACCGTGTATAACTAATTTATGGTTATTTAGTTTGAATGGATATAAAGAAAATGCTACGTGTGTTTGATAGCGGTAAGAGAATAGTTATCGAAACGTCGTGCCTATGTATTATGTACATGTATAATAAACCAGTTATTGCTGTTACTATATAACTGTACTAGTTCACAATTGCTAAATCCTAATTTTTTGTACCAATCGGATTGGTACAGACGATGTGTTCTGTAGTAAATTTACTTTTTGGATCTACTTATGGGTGTGGTCTGAAAGTCTAAATTTGCCTTTTAAAGATGCATTATGTAAGATTTACTTACAGAGCAGTCCGCTCTTTCTATAATAGTTCAAAAATAGATAATGCAAAATGAATATATTGAAAATTTTATACAAATTCCTTTATTCTGAGTGAAGTTATCACTGTTTGGAATTTTGACAATATGAGGCATTGGTTGTTTATTATCGTTTCGTATAAAGGGCACTTATTATTCGAGACTTAGCCTCGCTCCTCCGTTCTAATTTACTTAGACAGTCGATTATGGACATACCATTTTAATAAATGTTTAAATGATAGTTTATATAACATTTAAAGTCAAAATAAAGACCAGCATAATGCATCTTTAATCTCTGATGGTTTGTGCAACGCCCTTAACAATGATATAATTACAGTAGTTCCGTAACAGATGAAATGAGGGTTTAATGTCTTATTTTTTCCTGCACCGACCGGACTAATGAGATGGAGCCTACGTTGAATTGCAACTGTCAAAGGTTCTTTTACGTGCACACCAAAGAAAGTCCGGTCACAAAACCAATATCAAAATTTAACCAGAATGTCAATGTTTGCAACCATTTGAATTTGCAACTGGACATCGTTCACACGGTCATTGATAAGTAGTATCGGGTGTTCTTGAAAGAGAAAACAAAACCTTCATTTCTTAGTACACTATTCCCGTCACAACTTAAAGCTAGGCATTCAAATGTGGCCAGAATAGTAAAGTGTCGTCAATCCTATCTGCATATGTTCAGTTACCCTTACCCTACATTAGTCTGGAAAATATTGTATACTAGCATGATCACGGGGATGAAGCGTGATGGACGAACCTATACACAGACATCTTTGATTTTATTTATATTGTGTTGTATACAATGCAATCTTACAATGTGAAATATTGGCCGAGGTGCAAATTGTTTCGCCTGCTATCTATAAATTATAACGCAGTGTGTAAAAGGGGTGTCATCATTGAAATTCAAAAATTGTGCACATCAAAATGTTTGACTCAAGGAACCGTCCCAGATTTATTCCCAGCTTCTTATAGATGTGGAGATTTTTTTTTTTTTTTTTAAGTTATAATGTGTTTCTTTCAGGAAGAAAGAAACCGAAATTATGGACAATGGTGGATCGCTGACATTCACAAGATCTGGAACAAAGAAATTAAAAATCCTGGTTGTGATTATAGCTGTAATAATTATTGTTGCAGCACTTTCAATATTATTAGCCTTGTTTGTGCCTAGAAATGACATCATCAGCAATACGTCAGAAGAAATGGATACCAAAGTTATGCAGATTACAGATGTTCAAGTAGCCAATGAAACGTTCCATGAAACTTGATGAAACTCTTTATTCAATAGCATTAAGGATCGAAATTGGCTTATTCCGATTTGAGTATTTCCGAATCGGCGATATCATTGAAATATTTTTGTATATGGATGTAAATCAACAGACGGGGTCTCAGGCATGGGATGGAATTTTGTATAATGGTATTCAAATATTTTGCGATGAAAGAAAGCAGGCTGTATGTAACTGAAGAATAGCTAACGCCTACCCGAATCGTGTATATTTACTTATATTTCTCTTCTTGTCAATGTGTTCAAAACATTTATATTGGTAATTTAAAATATAACAAAGATTATTATAAAATGTAGTTACTTTAGTAACGGATTTTTATCGACTCAAGCCTCTATCCGTTACTGGCTGATGCTATATACAATTAATATGAAAATAAGGCTTTTTCCCTATCTCGGTTCTAAGGCTATTTTAGAATCCTTACCTTCTATTTGTCATCGTTATTCTTCTTTGTTCGCGAAAGGGAATCATTTCTTGCCACATCAGACACAAATTTATAATAATCTAACACTATTTTCATGTAGAATAAAGCGATCCACAAACACAAACAAAATTCATTTGAAATGATCTGCCATTATGAAACTCAAGCCTGCGCAGACCGGAGGTCACGGGTTCATAGCCGCGCTCAGCCAAAATTTCAAATTTATAAATGGAATGTTACCGTAAAAGAAAATTCTTGGATTATTATAAATTTGTGTCGGATATGACAAGAAATGATTCCTTTTGGCAAACAAAGAAGAATCACGGTGAAAAATAGACGGTAGGGATTCTAAAATAGCCTTAGAACCGAGATAGGGGGAAAGCCTTATATTAGTTGTATATAGCATCAGCCAGTGACGAATATAGGCTAGACCATTAAGAATCCGTTACTAAAGTAACTATATAAAATGGTGCGTGTATGTAATTTCTTTCACAAATTAGTGCGGGAATTATTTCTAACCCGATAACAAAGTGAGCCGGGTTACAAAGACCTTTAAATGCTTGTTTTATCCACCAATTGAAAGTCGATATAGAACTTTTCTTTTCAGCAAACCTATAGTAAAAAAATAAAATAAATAACATTCCAACATCTCAAATTATTTATTGATGCTCCCGGAAATACGCGAAATATTATGCAGTCTTAAATCTTAATGGGAAGTAACCTGTTCAGATTTCTTGCCTACCCCCCCCCCCCCGACCGGCATGCAGTGCGATACATATTCCCAATTACGGAGTTTACCGGAATATATAGAGGAATGTGGATTGATTTCCTAATTCTACACTTCTCGTTTGTCCTGAAACATCTTTCAGCATTTCTATTTACAACGATTTTTGTACGTCGACGACTACGACAACATGAACTGCAAGATTAAATAAATACAGTATGACGTATTATTGATTGACAGGACTGTGCTCGTCTTTTCTTGTTTTTCGAAAATGATTTATTTGGTGTCCGGGGAAGATACAATAAAATTGATTATGTTATCTCCTCACGTACTGACCAATCAGAATCTCGGTGTGATGTACAGGGCTGCCTTTTATGAGGCATTGTCGGAATTTAAAAACCCAATCGCATTCGGTTGATTCTGGTAGGTTTAGAGTTAGCGTATGATTGGCTGACATAAATTGTAAGTTTCACCGTTAAAACACGGTTTTGATGCCTTAGATGACAATGAAGTGTAAAGGTTTTTAAAAAAAACTTTGGATACGGTAAAATGTCGGTTTCAAATATTTACACTGTCTTGACCAATCAGATGCCCAGAACAATTGATTTTTTTAACGTGTCCATTCGTGCAACGCAGATCGAATTTTAAATCCAAAATTGAAGAAATCAGAAACCACAATATTGAAATAGCAAATATTTTTGTGGGGGAATTTTCCTTTGAAATTGTAAAAACATTACATCACAGGAATGATGGTATTCTTTAAAATCGTGACCTAGTATTTTTCACGTACATATTTTTTAAAAACATTAATAAGAACAAACAACAACTCTAAAATAAGCAGCCTCACTGTTCTTTTTTGTGTTTTATCATTTTTTTTAAAAAATCAGTATGGGTATTGTGTAAGTCTCAAGCCTCGGTCAATTCAAAACGAGGTTTGTTACGTGCCTACAGTGGAGTAAGCCACCCCGAATCAAAAAAGAACAAACAATTGGAGTAGATATGGATTACGAATTGCGTAGTGAATCTAATTTTGGAGTATAACTGTATTCTTCCTGGATGGAAACTTTGTTTTATGTTTTTTTAGGAAGAAATAATGTTTTGTTAGTTCAACAAGATAAATAGAGAGAGTCATGCTCGTCTTTATGTTATATCAAATACATCAACACGATTCGATGAAGCATAAACATCCGGTGCTCCATTATATATATCAACGTGATTTAAAACGGAGAAAGAAAAACAATTGTGATTGATTTATTGAAGGACAAGCATCATTATTACCAATCGAAACAAACAGCGTGTATTATATATTATTAATCATTTTGCTCTTCAGTGCATAGTGTCGAAAAGTAGGATGGTGGTGCGCTGCAGACCAATATGATTTAGAGCCCCAATACGCCAGACAACAAATAATCATTTATCTACTTGAATTTATCTAAATTAAAGCATTAAATAGCCTTCTTTATATACGTAATCTCATGATTAAAAACCCCCCACTAGATGCCAATTTCAGTTTGAGGTTCTTGGATTGAAATTCAAGCGTAGAGAAAAATAAGATGGCGGTACAAAACCAATAGAAAGGACGTTTAGAGGACCATATACTCAGCTATAGAAATAATTATTGGGTAAATCGTTTCGCCTATTATTATCCTTTGTTTCGAAGAATGGGTCAAATGCATGGAGATTTTTTTATTTTACTAGACCTGTCTACTACATTTGATACGATCAACCAACCATTCCAAACTTTTAGATTGTCTTAAACACAAATCTCAGAAACAAATCTAAAATAAATCTAACATATCCCACGAATAGTTCTTAGATAATCTCAGAAACAAATCTAAAATAAATCTAACATATCCCACGAATAGTTCTTAGATAATTGGCTTGAAAGATCTTGAAAGAAATCCAATACTTTAGAACTTCCGAATTCCACAAGGGCCAGTCTTTGGGTCTATCTTATTTACACAGACGGCCCGCTTGCTGACATAGGCGTAGAAGCCGTCCATTTTCGGACAGTGTATTTCTGTTTTTTTCGGGCACAAACATCAGAGATTGGGGAATTCGGCGTGAAAGGAGCTGAAATGTCGAAAGAAATGTAAACGGAAGCAAGACCCCGACAGAATGAATCAAGAAGGAAAAGGGGCAGGGTTATTGGATGTTGCTAGAAAACATTAGTAAAAGTTTCAAAACAAGCTTCTAAATTTTTTGATTGAAAGTTTCGAATGTTTGAATGTAAATTCAACCATCTCTAATAAAACTGTGAGTTATTTATAGACCCCCATCAGATCAGACCAACAGTTCTTTGCTGCATTTCACGAGCTAATTAGTACATTTACTTTAACAATTCGGAGATATTAATAGAGGGAGATTTTAATTTCCATTTTGGTATACCAAACAACTCGTCTGTCATAAAGTTTATTGAACTTCTAAATATTTTTTCATTACAACAGTACATCAAAACCCCAACACACAACCGTGGACACATTTTGGATCTTGTAATTTCCCTTGTTGAATCAGATTTGTTAAGAAATCTGCAAATAAAACATTAATTATTATCCGACCATTTTTCTATTCTATTTGATTTATGTGTTTGTAAACCAATTCTACCCGTCAAAACTGTAACATTTAGACAATTGAAAGCGTTAGATCAACGGGAGAATAAACTCTGCTTGGTTCAATAATGAAATTCTTGATGCAAAACGAAAACGTAATAAGGCTGAACATGTTTGGCGCAAGTTTCAGCTAACAATTCACAACAGATTATAAACCACTAAAATCAAAAATGAACCATCTTATCGCCGAAGCTAAGAGAGCTTAATATTCAAATAAGATTGACTCTAGCAACGACAAGCAAACGGAACTGTTTAGGATCACCAACTCACTGTTAAACCCTAATGGCAAGACCATACTACCCGATAGTGAATCCCAAGAGTTCGTTAAGCCCACCCCACGATAGATTGGCACCCTACTTTACAGATACACGTACAGATAAGATTGTGAAAATTCCCCGAGGGCTTGCTAATACTGGATATGATAATTATTTATCATCCAATAATACATTGTACAGTAGATATCGCTTGTGTGATAAATTTCATAATCTCCTTAGGAGATATCACTTTACATGAATTTGATTGGTCAATCAAAAAGAAACTACTTTTTTTATTTTCAAAGAACAGTTCTTTTTTTTATTAAAAATAACTTCTTTCTTATTAAAAAGGAACTATTTTTATTTAATTGACTTCCATGGAAACACTCAATCTGTTTCAAAGAGAATTACGAGTCTTCTAATATCTCCGTAAAAGATGGCTGCCTTTAACACGTTTCGTCACAGCACGCGCCGTCAATCATTGGCTGAATGGCGTGTGCATTGTTTACATAAGACGTTACTGCTTTGGGCAGAATGCTGCCTTTTACTCATTTTAATACCCATTTACACTAAATAGGAAATAATTTTTACCTACAAATACGTCAAACGTCTTTATTTATTTTTCTAATACATCAAAAAAATGTTTTAGAATTTAATTTGTCGGTGGAAAAAAGTTAATATTTGAGACTCATTAAGTGATGTCATCCTTATCAGTGATTGTAGCGTCCTAGCGAATATTCACTGCTGATCAGTGTGGGAAACACTGGGTCAATATAAGGACTTTGCAATGGTTGAATTGCTGTCAAAAAATGATGTATCACTACGCCGTATAAATGTAATCAGGTTCAGTAAAAGTGAAATCTATAGCAAAGAATTATATTTATTTATGTGTGCATGTAAGAAAGGATTGAGTGATAAATAAAATCTACTATTCGTTTTTTTTTATATAAAAAAAATATCAACACCCGGATCGTCGATATCAAAAAAGACTCGTAGGAGATTCTCTATATACCCGCCTCGACTTCATACTTCATAATAACCTTCAACAGAGTGTGTTTTATATAGGACTTTAAACTAGTTGATGAGACTGAAATTGCAAAAATCATAAAACAGTCTGCAACCAAATCTTGCGCTCTCGACCCTATACCAACTGCTTTTTTAAAGGGACGTCTTACTACGACCCTATCCATAATAACTAACATCATCAGTTCTTCTATTTCAGAGAATATTGTGCCTGATGTGTTTAAGAGCCTTCGTTTTCCCATTGATAAAAAAAGAACAAGCTTACTTCCCAACTTGGACAAAAATTACCGACCGGTGTCTAACCTTCGTTTTCTATCAAAAACTCTGGAGATGGTGATAGCCAATCAAATTACGACCCATATATTTGAACACAATCTTATGGAAGAATAACAGAGCGCGTATAGAAAATTCCACAATACGGAAACAGCTCTTCTCCGTCTCCACAACGACATTACCATATGTCTGGATAAGCGTAAATGCATTCTGCTGATCCTGCTGGATTTATCAGCAGCATTCAACACCGTTGATCACGATATCCTCATGTCAAGATTAGAGTGTAACTTTAGAATCCAAATTGATGCCCCGAAACTCATAGAATCTTATATAAAAGGTCGCAATTAAACTATTATAGTTAATGGTGTGTCATCGACAAAAATGCCTTTAAATTGTGGTGTCCCACAGGGATCCATATTAGGACCAATGTTATTCAGTCTATACACTTCTGCCCTTGGTGTAATCGCTAGGAAACACGGCCTTTCATTTCTTCTATATGCTGACGATTCACAGCTTTACATTTTTTTAAACCTCAGCAAGATTACCACTTCTATATTTCAAAATCAATTTTTGAGCAATGTATAAGAAATAAAGTGTTAGGTGTGTCATAACTTCCTCAAACTCAATGACGATAAGACAGAATATTTGCTTATTGGGTCGAATAAAACTTTTGAGAAAATGGATAACAACCCCAGTAGTAAAGTGGGTGATGGTTTCTTTTGTTTCTCTAAGGCGGCTCGGAACATTGGGGTAATATTTGATT